CCCCTTGCTGTCCCCAGGTGCTCCGGCAGTTCCGCCTGCTGTCACCTCCCAACGCCACGTGCCAGGCGCTGCACCTGGAGGTGGCCATCACCGGCCCCATCCTGTACCACGGTGAGGCCCCGCCCCCTTTTCCTCGCGAGGGCGTGGCCTCGGCCCTATTTTGCATATCCCAATCCTGAGCAGACGAGGACTACGAGGACTATGAGGACTACGAGGAGGCGGAGCCTAAGGAGGGGGAGGAGCCTACAGAAGGGGCAGTGCTCGTTGAAGGAGCGGGGCCTGTGGAAGGGGAGGGGCCAGCAGATGGTCCCGCCCCACTCAGCCCCATGTCCTTATGGGATGCCCGGAAGCGACGCCGCCGCAGCACGCACAGCCCCGCCCACGAGGTGGCCTTTCTGGTCTGCTTCCGGTGAGGGGCGGAGCTTTCTGTCCCAGTGGGCGGGGCTTGTTGCAGATGGGCGTGACTTGTTGCTAAGGGGCGTGGCCTGTTGTAGGCGGAGCCCAGGGGTGGCAATAACGGGGATGGCGGTGGTGGAGATCTCTCTGCTCAGTGGCTTCTCACCCCATAGGACAGACCTGGACAAGGTAGGGGCCCAGGGGGACTTGGGGGATGTAGGGGAGTTGAGGGGAATTATGGGGTGTGGGGGTGTTGGAGTTGTTAGGGCAGCAGAATGTTGGAGTTGTGGCATATGGGGCTATTGGGGTTTGAGGTGTTGTGATTGGGTGTGTTGGAACATCGAGCTGGGGTTGTTGGGGTTGGAGAGTTGGGTTTGAGGGTGTTGGGGCGTGGAGGTGTTGAGGTGGAGTTGCTGGGTTGGAGTATTGAGGTGTTGGGATGTTGGGGTGTTGGATAGCTTGGATGTGGGTGTTGGGGTGGGGACGTATCCGAGTGCTGCTGTCCCACAACAGCTGCGGGACGTGGTGGATCACTGGATCAGTCACTATGAGCTGGATGGGAACCAGTTGGTTCTGTACCTGGACGAGGTGTGTCCCCCTGTGTCACCCCTAATGTCAATGGCCCCATGATCCCATATCCCCCACGTCTCCATGTCCCCACACCATATCCCATTCTCCCCACATATCCCCGTGTTCCCCCACGTGTTCTCATTCCTGTCCCCAGGTCCCCCCCGAGCGGCAGTGTCTCAGTTTTGGGGCTACCCAGGACGTGGCCGTGGGCCACATGCAGCCGGCAATGGCAGCCATCTATGACTACTACGAGCCCGGTGGGCGGGGCACTCAGTGGGAGGGGCCTAAACGGTGGGGTCTTGGTGGGTGTGGCTGATCTGACCCCTCTGTGCCCCATCCAGGGCAGCGCTGCACCGTCTTCTACAATGCCCCACAAAGGAGCAGCACCATCGCCACACTGTGCTCCCCCAAAATCTGTGAATGCGCCCAAGGTGGGACCCCACTGTGACCCCATATGTGGGACCCCTATTCAGTGAACCCCCCACATCCTCCACCCAATTTTTGAGGATCTTGGGGTGAAATTAAGGGGTTTATGGGGGAACGTGGGGGAGGGACATGCAGGACATAGAGAGAACTCATATCAAGAACCTTGTGTTTTGGGTCCCTGATGATGTTGGGGCACCCTACTGATGTTCCCAGGGGGGTGTCCCCATGCCCAAAGGAGGACACAAGAGGTGACAGCCGATGACCGCCACGACTTTGCCTGTTACAGCCCCCGTGTGGACTATGGTGAGACCCCAAATCACTACACTTCAAACCTGCTGACCCCAAATTGGTTGCATCCCAAACCCTAACTGCCCTAAATTCCATCTGTTGCCCCTAAGCCCCACAGCTGTACGCTGTACCCCAAAAGTGACCCCTGAACCCTGAAAGCATTCACTAGGATCCTGTAGTTTTCTCCCCAGTTGTCCCTGTGACCCCAAGAACCCCATAGCTGCCCTATGATGTCCCCTGGCTCCCATAACTCCTCTGATACAATAACACCTATGACCCCATCTTTATGACCTCCATGACCCCTTTGACCCCATCCCCTCTGATCCCCAGCGCTGGTGGTTCGGGTGCTGTCCCAGAGTGAGATTGGGGCTTTTGTGGCATTTGAGACGGAAATCAAAGAGGTGCTGCTTGGAGGTGAGACTGAGGGCACTGGGAAGGACTGGAAGGTGAGAATGGGAGCACTGGGAGAGGCAGGGAGTACTGGAAGGGACTGGGACGGACTGGAAATTGAGACTGGGTGAACTGGGAATTCTGGTAGAGACTGAATATGTATACTGGGAGCACTGGAAGAGGTTGTGGGGTGAGAAGGGGATGCTGGGATATATTTGGCCAGACTAGGATAGCATTGGGCTGTACTGAGGGGGTCTCTCAGCCATACTGGAACAATATGAGAGTATATTAGGTGGTACTGGGAAAGTTTGGTGAGTTCATAGCGGTGTGTACTGGTGCAGGTCAGGACACAACAGCAGCTCCTGGGGAGCGGAGGCGGCTGCTGGTGCGGAAGAGCTGCCAACTGCGCCTGCAACCCCACAACATCTACCTGGTGATGGGGGGCAGCGGGGGGACACAGGACCCTGAAGGGCGGTGAGAAGGGGCTGTGCCCCATGTCCCTGTGTTCTCAAGTTCCCATGTCCCGTATCCCAGTGTTTCTAACCCCACATTCCTGACCCTGACCCCATATCCTGATATCTCTGACCCTGTCCCCATTTCCAGCCCCCAGTTCCTGCTGGGTCCCCACTCGTGGGTGGAGGAGGTGCCATCCCCTGGACGCTGTAGGGCCACACGACTGCGGAGTCACTGCGCCCAACTGCAGGAGTTCCGCACCCGCCTGAGCCAACTGGGCTGCCAGCTCTGAGCCACTGGGAGCCACTGGGAGCATGTTGGGTGCAGCTGAGACCATTTTTTGGGGTGAACTGGCACCATTGTTGGATCAGTTGGAATCAACTGGAAATAAACTAGCGTTGATTGGGACCATGTTGGGATCAACTGGAAGTGTGCTAGAAGAAACAGAGTTGCTGGGTTTGAGTGGGACTAACTGGAACTGTGTTGGAACAAACAGGGATCACACTGGGACCAACTGGGTTCACAGTGGGTCAAAAAAGATCACAGTGGGCCCAAATGAGGTCATACTGGGTTGAACTGGGATCGGAACGGGCTTAATAAACGCACAGTCCTCCGAGCCACCACAGAGTCGGCCCTCCGGTGGCGCAGAGCGGCGCTGCACGCCCTCCGTGCGGCAACCGGACGTGACGTCACTTCGCGGCGCGCGATTCGAACTCCGGCGGCGCCCATCGGAGCGCCCCAATGCCGCGGCCCAAACCGCGCAGCCCCCGGCGCCGGGGCCGCCCCCCCCCCGCCGCCCCGCCGCCGCCCCCCGCGCGACCCCGCGGTGAGTGCAGCCCGGAGGGGTGCTGGGGGGTGTGGGGCTGAGTCTTTATCGCCGTTGTTTTCCCGTCTTTTCGCCCCGTTTCAGCCCGCCGGTACCGGCCCGGTCAGAGGGCGCTGCGGGAGATCCGCCGCTATCAGAGCAGCACCGCCCTGCTGCTGCGCCGCCAGCCCTTCGCGCGCGTGGTAACGGGACCGCCACCCCTTCCCCTCCATGGGACCGCCCCCCCCCTCCCCACACACACACACCCAACGTGGGACCCCCGCCCCAAAATGAGATCTCAACATGAGGTTTGGGGACCCCAAAATGAAACACTCCCCCCCCGCCCCCAATGGAACACCCCGAAAATGGGGCCGCACATAAAAGCGGGGACCCCCACCCCTCAAAATGGAGCACCCCCAACCGGACCTTTCAAAAAATACTTCCCTACATACCCAAAACGGGACCCTTCATACCCAAAATGAGAGCCCCCTAAAAATTAGACCCTTCAGACCCCCCCAACCCCTCTGCACCCCCAACCCTCCCCATGGATATCCCCCGTGTCCTTGTGCCCCACCTTCCCCTGTGTCCTTCTTACCTCCCCTGTCCCCCCCCCCAGGGACACAGCATCCTTGATTCAGTGTCCCCCCCATGTCCTTGAGCCCCCCCCCGTCACCTCCCATGATGCAATGCCACCCTCGTGTTCTCCCCCCTCAATGTCCTCATGGCCCCTACCCGTGTTCCCCCAGTGTCCCCATGCCCCCCTGTCCCCCCCCTGTCCCCAGGTGCGGGAGATCTGCCTGCTCTTCACACGGGGCGTGGACTACAAGTGGCAGGCTATGGCCCTATTGGCCCTACAGGAGGTGGGGGGCCCTACAGGTTTATTTTTGGGGGGGAGGAGGATTTTTTTGGAGGTTCCCATGATTTGGGGTTGGGGGATGTTTTAGGGTACCCCATAATCTGAGGGACACTTTGGGTGGAGCTGGGGGGCTTTATAGTGCGCAAAAAGTCTTTTTTGGGGGGAAGGGGAAGCAGATTTTGGGATACCCCTTGTGCTTGGGGGTCTCTTTGGGGCTTGGGGAGGGGAATTTGGCTGTGAGGTGTTTTGGGGTTGGGGATTGTCTGGAGGGGGGTTGGAGGTTTTTGAGGTGTGGAGTTACTGAGGTCATGGTTTTAGGGAGGGAGGTTGGGGGTAGGGGTTGTTTTTGGGGTGTTCCAGGGGTTGTTTTGGAGGACTGGCATTTGTGGGGTGGCCTGGAGGTGGGAATTGACCCCTTCCTGCTTTTGTGGGGATGCCCACCCTGGGGTCCCACAGGCGGCGGAGGCGTTCCTGGTGCATCTGCTGGAGGATGCCTACCTGTGCTCGCTGCATGCGCGCCGCGTCACACTCTACCCCAAGGACCTGCAGCTGGCACGGCGCCTGCGGGGGCTGCAGGGGGAGGGGTTCTGAGCAGCCACCCCCCCCCCCCCCCCCAATAAACACCCCCTCCCCTACTCACACACACAGACGCACAGAGCGGTGATGGGGTTCTGCTGCTGGGGTGGGGGCATTTGTGGCAATGGGGGGGGATTTGGGGAGGTGGTGAGCGGAGGGGTGGGGAGCGCTTGGGAGGATGTATAGGTAGAGGTTGGGGGGGGGAGTTTGGGGGATCTTTGGTTGGGGGTCACACAATGGGAGTGTGAGTGATTTTTTTTTTTTTGGAAGGGGGCACCCCATGGTTCTGGGAGCACTTTGCGGGGGGACAAACTCCTGTATTTTTATGAGGACACCCCCATAAATTTTTATAATGATTTGAAGCGGGGTGGACACAATAATTTTAGGGGAGTGAACCCAATGCCCCTCTTCTGGTAGGAGGGGTTTGGGTGGGAGAGGGGTGGAGCTTTTGGGGTCCCTCCCCCTCATAAGGTGTTATAGGGGCAGAGCTGGGGCCCCCCATCCCACAGAACAATGGCGGTGGTGATGCTTCTGCTGCTGCTCCTCCTGGCTCTGATCTGGGGGGGGTCAGCCAGGTGGGGGGGGGCCCCATGGGGGGGGACCCTGCACCTCCTGCACCCAGAAGGGCCACAGCACCTCCACGTCCTCACCCAGACCTATGGGGACCCCTTATGTCTGCGCTTGGGGGGACGTGGTGAGTAGGGGGGGCATCTTCATGACCTTCCCATCCCCCTGACTACCCCTTGGAGCCCCCATGACCCCCTCTTCACCATAAATCCCCCCTCCTTTGGACCTTGAACCTTCCCCCTTTAAGATCCCCAACCTCACAGGCTCTCCAGAATTACCCATTGAGAGGGTGGAGGAACCCCCAAATACTGCTCCCCAATTCCTTTTTGCCCCCCTCCTTCTACCCCCCACAAAATAATTTGGGATCCCTAACCCCTCCCTCCCCCCCCAGACTTTATCCTGGTACCTCTCACTTCTCCCCCCACCTCTAGTTTCAAGGTTCCCATGGGGGTCCCTTCCCTCCATCCCACTCATTTCTTGTCCCCCCTGCCCAGAGGTGGTGGTGCTGAGCTCTGCAGCCGCCATCCGTGAGGCACTGGCACGGCGCTGGGGGGACTTCGTGGGACGCCCCCACAGTTACCTGGGTATGGGGGAGCTGCAGGGGTTGGGGGCTCCCCATGAGGGTTTGGGGTGAGTCAGAGGGGGGTTCCTGTGAATCTTCAAAGGGGGTTCTTTGGGTTTTGTAGTTCTGGGGAGGGTCCCAAGAGGGGTCCATAAAGATCTCTATGGGTATCTGAGTGGGTTTGGGGTTCTGGAGGGTACTAATTGGTGTCTGTGGGGGTTCTGAGGGATCCTCCTGGATTTTGAGTGGAGGGGAGTCCCTGCAGGTCCTTGTTGGTTATCTGGAGGAGGTACTGGGGGTCCCCATGATCTCCGAAAGGGTCTGGTTGCGTTTTTTGGGGGGGAGAACGTTTCGGTGCTGGACAGGTCTCAGTGGGTGTCTGGGGAACTCTGGATGGGTCCCCAGTGATCCCTACGACTGTCTGAGGTGTTCTGGGACGTCTTATGGGTGCCGGGGTGATATGGGTGTCACCCCACAGCGTCCTTGGTGTCGCGGGGGGGGCAGGACCTGGCGCTGGGGGATGCATCCCCAGAGTGGCGACGGCAGCGAGGGGCAACGCGGGGAGCGCTGGCGCGGGCTGTGAGACACCTGGAGCCTCTCCTGGAGCTACAGGGCTGGGCGCTGTGCCAGGTGAGCACCCCAACACGGGGCCCTCCAACCCCAGTTGGACACCATCATCTCCAGGGCTGAGGTGCCCGTCCCCTTGAGTCACCCTGACCCCCCTGTGGGGCACCCACACCCCCTTCAGTGACCCCATTTTCCACCCCACAGGAGCTGAGCTCTTATGGGGCTGCCCCAGTGGACCTCTTTGAGACATTCGCGTTCCACACCTGCAGCACCATCTGCCGCCTCGCCTTCGGGGACCTGGTGGGGACACCGGGGGGGATGCGGGGTCTAGGTGTCACCTCGGGGAGCAGGGGGCCTCAGGTGCCACTACAGGGGGTCTCAGATGTCAGGTGCCACTGGAGGGGACCAAGGGGTCCTTGGGGTGGCCCAGGTGTCCAAGGAGGGTGGATCCTAAGTGCTGAGGGGCCACTTTGGGTCTCAGATATCCCTTTGGGGACCCAGCCACCTCTAGAGGGACCCAAATGACCACATACCTCTTTAGGTTCAGAAGTCTCTGGGGGGACCCAGGAGTCTCTCTGGAGTGACCAAGCCCTGTGCCCCACAGATGCCCCCCGAGGCAGAGGTGCGCTCCTTTACACGCTGTGTGGTGGAACTGCTGGAGGTGTGGGGCTGGGCCAGTGTGCGGGCACTGGATGTGCTGCCTCCACTAAGGGTGAGCCCTACAGGGCCTCATAGGGCTTATGGGATCAGTGTTGGGCTGGGAAGGGGGATAGGTCCATATGGGGTCTATAGTGAGAATGGGCTATATTATCCTTTGGGGGTTATAGATGGGGCTGGGGGGGTCTGTATGGGGTTGAGGGGGGTTAAAGAGGTTATATAGAGCCCTGGGAGGGTATTACGGGGTTTGTATGGGGTTGGGGGGCTTCTCTACGTTTGTCTTAGGTTCAAAAGGAGGAGATATGGGGCCGGGAGATATGGGCCCAGGGGAGCTCTGTAGGACACTGAAGGGGGTCCCTGTGCCCCACAGGTGCTGCCCAACCCGGGGCTGCGGGAGCTGCTGCGCCTGGTGGAGCGCCGTGACGCCTTTGTGGAGACCCAGATCCGATGGCACCAGGTGGGGATGTGGGGACATGGGAACAGAGGGGGGATACAGCTGCAGGGGGTAACACATGTGTCCCTACAGGGCTGCACATCCCCCCCCAGGGACACAGTGCTAGGGGCACTGCTGGGGGGGGACCCCACTGTCCCTATGGGGCCTCTGGGGGGGGACCGCCTGCACATGGCCCTTGTGGACCTCTTCATTGGTGGCACCGAAACGACAGCGGCAGCTCTGTTGTGGGCTGTGGCCTTCCTGCTGCACCACCCCCAGGTGACACCACGTCACATCTGTGTCACACCCACATCTGTTTCCCCACGGTTCCCATTCCAGTCTCCCATTCCCACGTACCCCCAGGTGTGTGCTGGGTGTCCCCTCCCATACCCTACTGCACTTCCCCATTGCACCACATGCATGTCACATTCATGTTCAAATCCCTGTGTGGATGATGGCCCTGGGGTGTCTCTACCTGTGTCCCTGGTGTCCCCTGTATGATGGTTATCACCGAAGTGTCACACTCATATCACCTCTGTGCCACACCGATGTCTGTGTCCACGTGCAGGGGAGGGCCACCCCACGAGTGACCCGATGTGACACTTGGTGACATGCTCTGACACGTGTCCCCTGTCCCAGGTGCAGGACCGGGTGCGTGCAGAGTTGCACCAGGTGCTGGGCCCCACAGGGACCCCAAAGCCAGGGGACATGGGACGACTGCCGCTGCTCCGCGCTACTGTCACCGAGACCCTCCGCCTGCGTCCCCCTGCGCCTCTTGCACTGCCCCACTGTGCCCGGCGCCATTCCAGGTATGGCCAGTAATGCACCAGTAGGGGGCCATACAGACCAGTGGGGACCAGTACCAACCAGTATGGGCCATATATCTGCCTGCAGAACCATGCACCACTGTCAGTGTTTTGCAATGAACAAATGTAGACCAGTTTGTAATAGTGTGGACTGCTGCAGACCATGGACTTACCACTAGATCAGCCCCAGTAGAGCTCATCAGCCCCCATTAAGCCCCAGTATGTCCCATTTGGCCACTGTAAGCTCTCCCAGTCCATCCCAGCAGCAGTCTGTTCCTTCCCAGCATTGCAGGAATCCCGGTGCCTGTGGGATCCATCGTTATCCCAAACCTCTTTGCTGCGCACCACGACCCCAAGATCTGGGACCGTCCTGATGAGTTCCTGCCTGGTACGTGTGGGTCCACCCCACAGATGTGGGTCCTGAACCCCAGGTTGGGTTCCTCCCTATACACCCACTCTCTGACCTCTGTTCTGCCCCACAGAGCGGTTCCTGCAACCAGGGGCCCCCTGGCGAGCGCTGCTGCCCTTTGGTTGTGGGGCACGCTCGTGTGTGGGGGAGGCGCTGGCTCGGGCAGAGCTCTTTGTGTTTTTGGGGTACATCCTACAGCGATTCCGCCTGGAGCCACCGTCTGATGGGGCTCTGCCCCACTTGGGGGTTACCGCCGGCACCGTGCTGCGTTGCGTCCCATTCCGTGTGCGCCTCGTGCCCTGCCCACCCCATAGCTCCTGAGCCCAGTGTGTGCGATGCATGGGTCAGTGCTGGTTACTCGCAGCTTTATTGACTCCATAAAGGCTCCACTGCACCCCACAACCTTTTCAGTGCTCTCAGTCACGCTGTGGCCGCAGCTTCATCTCTGTGAAGGGGATGGAGTACTCAAAGCCCTTCCAGGGGTACCAGTTGATGCCCTGCAGAGAGGGAGGGGGGATTTGGTCACACCCTATAGGCAACTTACCACAGTTCTACAGACACATATAGGCCCTACAGGGGGCCCCCAAGTACCCCCTTCCCTGCTCCAGCTTCTACAACTCTTATAGGATCCCATACTCACATAGGAGAGACATGAGGCTAAAGCGACCTTGTGGGGGGGTAGCCCTCCATATTTACCCTGCATAAACTCCATGGCCCCACAGTGACCCCCTCCTGTCCCATTGGGTTGTTTTTATGCCCCCATAGGCCCATTTACGATTCCCACAGACCCCTTCATAGTCCCCATAGCCATACCTGGTGGTCATAGGGCACCCCATAGCGCCCGTTGAGGTTGGCGTAGTGGCAGTTGCGGTACCACCAGGCTCCTGTGTAGGCAACAGCGCAGGGCCGGGGGCGGCCCCGGGGGTCGTGGTCCCGTGTGGAGAAGGGGCTCCCAGCGTGGTAGGACAGCGCATCCCCTGTAGGACCCACAGCAAGCTTATGGGGACCCCTAAAGAGAGCTCTCCAGGACACCCACGTAGGGTTCAGAGCCCCAGGGATGAGCCACAGACCCCCAGAAGTCCCCACATCCTCATAGAGACCGCCCAGTGGGGCAGAGCCCCCCCCCACAAGAACCCCTGTGGGCTCCCTGTGGTCTCGAGATCCCAATGGGTCAGTGATCTCAAAGACCCCTGCAAGGCCCCCTCATTGTAGGCAAAGGAGCTGTCCCCTATTCTCCCCAGGATTCCCCCCCCCCATGATCGGGGTATCCCCAAAAGCCCTACCATGGGTCAAGGTTAAGCCTAATATCCCCCAGGAACCCCCCAGGACTCCCCCAGCCCCACACACACCAGCCGTGCCACTGTAGGCCCCGAGATGGAGGCGAAAACTGTCCTCAGGACCACCGACGGCAAAATCCCGATAGCGGGCGAAGGCGCTGTCTGACGGCGTCCGGAGGTCCACGCGCAGCTCCGTGGGCCCAGAAGCTGTCAGTGTGTGCAGCGCCGCATTCCCTGCCCACGTCCCGCAGCCATCAGCCATCCCCACCCTACAGACCCAATTGGGGCCCTGCCCCACACCCTCCACCCCCCACCCCACACACCCATCTGGGATCCCACTCCGCATCCCAGTTGGTTTCTGTCCCACATCCTGCAGCCATCAGCCATCCCCACCCTGGGTGTCTCACCCGCACCCCAGACCTCAATGTCCCCACATTTTGGGGTCCTCACCCAGCCAGAACTCCCCAGAGATGTTCCCGAAGCCGTGGACGTACTCCTCCCACCCCCTCCAGAAGTTGGTGCCCCCATCCATGCGGCGCTGGAACACCTTTGGGGGG